AATGGAGAGAATGAAAACGAGCCGAAACCAAAAAATCACGCCAAAGTTGCTCAACAAGCAAAGCGATGCTCTTTGATTTTTTGGATAATCCTGGTTTGGTGAATCATCAACTTCTTTCGGATAGACAGGCGATCAATAAGGAGTTACATTTGGCCGTATTGAAGCGCTTGCATGAGAACATCCGTCGAAAGCAGCCAGAATTGGGGAAGAACTATTTATAGATTTTCCCCTAACAGCAATTGCCGCTCCGCAAAAACCGTTTTCAGTCGGTCCAACGAGATAAAACAAARYTCGCTGAAAGAGCTGAAGACCATCACAAACAGTGCTTATGAAAAGTGTTTCGRAACTGGAAAAATTGTTGGCATATGTGTATTAAATGTGGTGGGGATTACTTTGAGGACTAYAAAATAAATTTTGATGAATAATTATAAATAAATAGTTTCCGTTTTATTTACAAATTCCGGGTACTTTTTTTTGCATGGATATATTTTATGGAGCCTTCGACGTTTTGTATGTTGTAAGTTTCGTGGCATACTTAATATACTCAGTTCAGGATATAATAATTTTCCTCTCCACCTGACACCGTTTTGCGGAGGTCCTCTTGGAGGTCAGCAAGATAATCAAGGGAATTCAAAGCTTTTAACTTTTCTTTTCTTCATATTTCGATGGATTACATCTTCGAAAAGCACATACTAATRCTTTATATCGATATTTGAAATAGCTTTTGAGTTGTAGCCTGCTAAAGTATAGCAGCTCTGTTAAATCCAGTTATGTCTGAGCGCATTTGCTATGTGTATGGACTTAGTCCGGGTTTAGAAGAATGCAATATATCCGCGTCATCAATATTGTTTGCGTCAAGTACTTTACCTTCAAATTAAATCATCTCGGTATTAGTTAACTATCTTTAAGCTCTACTATATATACATATATGTCTCTCTGGTTTTTTAAGACTGAATAAAAATATCATGATCATTTAAAACTAAAAGACGATATTGGAACTCTTTCGTGGTATGCATTTAGAAATTGTATGAGGTGACTCGCAACAAAGTGTACCAAGTAGTGAACTAAAAATAATCCAAATATTTTATTTCAAATAAAGCAAACAAATTAATGGAAATAAATTKTTAGTTTTAAAGAGGAAAAAATCGTATAAAAGAAACTATTGAAAAAGATTGTCGTTTGTGCTTCCATTTTGCAGTCTTAGCTGCCACTAGTATTCATTGGCCACACTTTATCCATATTATATATTATAAATCTTAAAATAAGAACAACATTTGAAGAGAAAATATTTCATTGCAATTTATGCATGACGAAAACTTTATATTCAAGTACGGCATTTCCCTGCTACCTCATAAGATGTCTGTCAACACTTAATTTCACACTTTTTCTAATTATCCCATCTACCCWAAACATCAAATTTCGATTAGCATCTCATAAATTTACTTGTTTGAGGAAAAATACTCTTCAAACCTTCAAACTTCCGGCAACTCTCGACAACAACAACCATGGCACACTTTATATCCCAAATCAATTAGTACAGTTAATTCAATTTGGCCGTCSACATAAAAGTGTCATTTGAAGTGCAAACAAATTTCTAACAACCGTTACTTAACGGCAAGTCTGGATTTTCGATATTTTCAGCACCATTTAGCTTAAATATATTTGTTGTTCGTGCACGTTTACTCRTACTTCCCTTCCTTTTTGGACTCTATTTAACGTGTATGAAGAGAGGCAATCAAATTGCGCACGCAAAAGTGAGTGACTGGCTCAGCATTGCCAAGCAGGCGAAGTGCAGAAAATTCGTTCAATTCAGAATTGAAAATKAACTCCGATGATTTTAGTATGTGAGCATGAAAACGTGTATTCATAGTTGCTTCGGACTCATATTCACAGTGGTCAATCGGTGAGTTTTGCTTATCAGCAAAGTTAAATASGGAATCGAAATCACAATTAGCAACGAGCATAGGTAGTGTAAAACGTCATATTTACCATAATGGTCCGATAAGTACATTGAATAAAACAAAAATAATATTTTCGAAAAGTAAATTTTTCTCAACRCAGTCTTCATGTAGCTCGATATACTTCTCTCAGTCACACTACCTGCATTAAAACTATGTTCTCTGGAAGGCAGCAATATAAGCGTCCATGGCGGCTACAAGTTTCTCATTCGACTCAAATTTCTGTTCAGCGAGTGACTTCTTTAAGTTTGGAAAAAATTAGTCTGTAGGGGTCAAATGCAAACATATAAAGAATATAACAGATAGATCTGAAGTTCGGCATATTCAAACTGAACGATTAAAATCAAGCTTTTGTATTGAAAACTTTGTCATATGATAAAATATTTTCAAAGCAAAGCAGTGTTCAATCTCCGACGAAGTTGTTTAGATCAAGCCAACATGGGAGATAACGGTTTTCAATAAGCGCGCCATAAAAGTTTGGGATACCAATGAAATTCATTATTTCTGTGAAAGTACATTCGATGCCATTTTGTATGGAACCCGATTGCTTTAGCATGGCTACTACAGGCATGAAGTCAAGACGCTGAAGCCAATTTTCGAGTATAAATCAGCTTAAATCAGCCTACTGCTGCAATTTCTCATTCGATATTCCTACGAAGTTCATCAATCGCCGCTGGTTTGTTGGCACAGACCAAATACTTGACGTAGCCCCACAGGAAATAGTCTAACGGCGTCAAATTGTACGACCGTGGCGGCCAATTGACTGGGTCATATTGTGAGATAACACTTTCACTAAACTTTGTTTATAATTAATCGATTGTAACATTCGTTGTGTGGCTCGACACGCTGTCCTATTGAAACCACCATATATTGTCCAAATCCATATCATCCAATTCTGGCCAAAAATAATCGGTCATTGAGCGGTAGTGATTCCCATTCACAGTAACGTGTCGGCCTTGATTATCACAGAAGAAGTACGGACCAATGACGGCGCCGGCCCATAAGCCGCACCAAACCGTAATTTTTTCGTGATGCAATGGTGACTTATTGAGTACGTGCGGCTTGCTGTCTCACCAAAACGCATATTTTGCTTGTTGACAAAGGCATTTAACCGGAAATAAGTCTCAACACTGAAAATGATTTTACGACGAAAATCCGATTAATTTTCTAGTTGTTGTCCAGTTCAATTCCCGAACGTACGACGTTTCTGGTGGTCAAGCGGTTTCAGCTCTTGGGTCAATTTGATTCTGAATGAATGTAGGCCAAAACTTTCGACTTCTAGGTCGCACAGATGCCCAACGCTTGCGAACGTGTTGAAGAACGTGTGGGTCTTCCGCAATTGACGCACTAGTGGCAGCAATATTCTCGACACTACTGGCACTTCTTTGTCTCACTAGCACGTCAACATTCTGTACTGTGTCTGTGAATTCAAATTTTYCCACTAGACACTCAATTGTTGATTAATTGGAGCTAGCGTTCTTAAAGTTGAGGCCATTGACTTCGAATTTTGGTAGTAAATTTTAATAATTTCCACTCGTTGTTGGATCTTATATCTTTCTATGATGAAATGGCAAATTCTAATATAGTGAAATGTCAAAAGAGCAGGAAACCATTTGGCGTCGTTTGCTATCCCTATTGGTCTACTTTTGTAGCGTCCCTATTGAAAATCCCATCATATGGCTTGGGAAATATTTTATTTTTGGAGAATGTTATACTTTTGGTACAACTGAAAATAAAGTTTATGCTAGTTTAGAATTTTTATACATTTTTTTGTTTTCTTTAAATAATCAAAATTCCACTTCTTCTTCTCCAAAACGGATTTAACCTCAATATTACGCAACCAAAAAATGGAATATAGTATTTCTTGTGCTAAATTGCTCTTACTTTGCTAATTAAGCTAATATTTCACTGTGGCATGTTTCGTTAGTTCTCGAATATTGAAACTTTAAGAATTACCCCGAGAACGCCAACTACTGTTATATCCGTACACACACATGTAGCAAGCAAGCTGAAGCGCATGTAGCATGTGAAAATTCAAGTAACTCACGCATACGCCAGCAACATTTGCTGCTCTGTTGTGCTTTGTTAAAGTTAAACAAACTTCCGAAAGGTCAGTGTCTATTACATGATTTGTGCAGGCAGCAGCAAGCAACTGCTGCTGCTGCTGCTGCTGCTACAAAGGCTGCTCGTTAAACTTATGCTGTGCTGTAGCGAAATGCCACAGCAAATGGAAAGAGGAAAACTAAAATTTTCGCAAACTTTTGCTTTAGAGCGATGAAGAAAAAGAAAAGAAATGATTTCGTGCTTTTTGTACTTTTTCTTGTTTGTTAATTAATTAGCAGCTTATGTAAGTAGAGCACTAAAGCATACATGCTCTCACACACATATCTGTATATGTACATACACATATGTAACTGATGMGTTTGCTTTTGYGGATGAAGTCATGAGCACGTTCAAGGTAGCAACAAGTGATGAAGCAGAGCAGCAAAATTCCTGTATAAGATAACATTACTTGGTTACTGACAATAAAAGGTGAGAATTTAAGCGTGAGTTAGCTCGCAGTGTGCTGCTGGCCGTTCAATTTCGTTTGCGCCTATTAATGATGATATATTGTTATTGTTGCTCATTATCTTTTTTATTAATGGTAAAATTCCAAGCAAACATCCCTTAAGTCTGCATCGTTGACTCAACTACACTCTGAAGGTATGCCGCCCTGCTTTGAACCTTTATACACACACACACCCTTATATACCAGTTTACCAGTTGTGGAATTTAGCTTCTTGTCCTTGGTGTAGCAGTTTAATTTGCTGCTAATGCCCTTAATGGCGAGTGAATACTCGTTGCAATCGGTTTGGGGTGCAATGCATTGATATCCCTGATTATTTCCTTACAAGCATTTCTTTAACATTTCCGCAGCTATCAGCCCTCATTTGCTTTTGCGTTGAGGTATACGCTTTGCAATCTGTTTAAAGAATACAACTGCTGTAAAATTCACTTTTTTTAAATTTTTTTATATTTTTATTTTATTTTTTTCACATTTGATTTCCAGCTCTGCCAACGGAAATTGAAAATGGTGATAAAACAGCGAATGCGCAGTTCATTGAAGGTGAAGAGGAAGACTATGATGATGAGGAGAATGAGGAGTATCCAGGTAAGTGTCTTTCACGCTTTTTATGGCTCTTAAGTGGTGTTGGTGCGAACGTCGTCAACCTTTTAAATTCGTCTACCTGACAAAAATTCTAATTTCACTGTTTGTGTATTTTTCTCTCTGTTCTCGTGCACTTAGAGGAGCGACTTGTCGAGCGACCATTTAAATTTGAGGATTTTGCCAAAAGGTGAGTGAATATTGAAATTATTATAATAAGAAAGGTGAGAATGAGAAAATCGTGGTGAAATCGATATACCAAATTATGTTATGAGGGTTGCAAATGAGATTTTGATTTCGTAAATGAAACAGAGATTTTGAATTGGACATAAATAATAGAAGATTAAGTTTTGCTGAAGTTATTAATATTCATTGTAGGATATTTTACTTTAACTCAGTAATAGTCTTTGTAAATTAAAATTCATATGCGATATTGTTTTCAACATGCCACACCATTTATGTTTTTAATAATATACAATATATAATAGAAAATTTCACTTTTTGTTGAATGAAGAATATTATCATAAAGTGTTGGGAAAAATGTTTTTAATGCCCCGACGCCCGCTCAAACCATTCTATTTGCCGTGACGCTAAGCGGCTATAATTTTCAAGAAATTATTTTTGAATATCTAAGCCCTCAAAATATTAAAACTATTATATTTATTTTAATATCTAGATTAAAATACTCTGAACGCCAAAACTAAGTAGTATSGATTTGCAGGTGCACCGCATTCGATGTATTTTCATGCTGAAATCATTAGCCTATTTTCAAACTTAGTCGTCAGAAATCTTCTTTATGATTTGTTCACTGGAAGGAAAAGCTTTTACAACTGAAAAAGCACTGAGTCTGCTTACGTGTCTACTTGGGTAGTGCCCAAGCGGGTCATATTTGGAATTTAACAATTTTATACTCTGAAAAAATATGATTTTTAACAATAATGGTAAAGAATTTTTTGTATTGCAGGAAAATATGATAACTTATTACTTTCATCAAAATATCTATTAAATTTTTCTCTCCATGAACAAATCATACTATTAGAGGTATTGAACAACGAGATACTAAAATATTGCTTACTGTATATAAAATGTCATCTTATGAATCAACATCAAACATCAATCGTTTCTCATTCTTGTGTTCTTCTCAGAACTCGAAGCTGCTTTCCTCTGTACACAATTACAGCAAAAGTTTAATGTAGCTAAGTATCGCTTTTAACCAAAGATTGCTAATGGTAACTTCAGGCTAGTTACCTCATATTAAATATCAGCTCATAAGAAAAATTTATAAATATAGTATACTCTGAAAAATAGTTCGAGAGTGGGGGAGCGTTGTCCTTGCTTATAATATTGTCATTTCACAGTTTCCTAGTRCTGAGATCAGTAAAATAKTAAAATATTTGGGAACAATTRAGMGAAAGTTTAGACATGAATCGACSTTTGAGTAAGAATATTAGAACCTASATTGTTACTAGGTTATATAAACATAATGGGGGTTTCAATAAGAGCGCTGCAAAAGATTTTTTTAAATAAAACAGAAACAGTTTAGGACATCAATGAAATTTTTTATTCCCGTGAAAGTATCGATGCCATTATGTATGCAACTCGAAGTACATCAACCGGCGCTGGCCTGTTTTCGTAAGATAACACGTTTAGGAAACTTGGTTCTCTATAAAATGATCGTGACATTCGCATTGTGGCTTGTGTCGCCGTCCTGTTGGAACCTCATATTGTACGAGTCATCCAATTCGGGCCAAAAAYATTCGGTTATCATTGAGCGGTAGCAATTCMCATTCATCATGGAAGAAGAGCAGCAATAACGCCACCAGCCTGACCAACAACAAATATTTTGCTTCTTGACGAAGTAATGGGTTTCATCGCTGAAGATGATTTTTCGATGAAAATCCGAATCATTTTCAAGTTGTTGCTCAGCCGAATTCACGAATGTACAACGATTCTGTTAGTCAAGCGGCTTCACATCTTGCGTCAATTTGATCTTGTAAGGATRTAGACCGAGATCTTTTCGCAAAATTCGCCACAACGAGGTCACARAGATGCCCATCGCTTGAGTACGACGTGTGAGAGACTGATTTGGGTTTTTCTCAACTGATGCTCTAACGGCAGCAATGGGAATACGACTATTTTATACTTTGCCTTCGAATTAAATTTTTTCTGCTAGTCTACTTTAGTGCTCTTAAAGTTGAGGCTGCTGATTCCAAGTTCCGGAAATAAATTTTAGTGATTTCGGCTCGTTGTTTCATCGTATATCTTTCCATGATGAAATGACAAACCCAACTGAAAATAAATGTTAAAAGAGCGGGAAAAATATTACGTCGTTTGCTATCATTATCGATCTACTTTTGTAACGTCCCTATTGAAATACCCGTCATAATAACATTGGGCATTCCTCAGCGACGCTATAGACGCAGGTTTTTTTCCAATGTTTTTAATTTCTTATAAATATCTCTTTAAGCATTTTTCTCTTAGTCCATCCTGAAACAAATTTCCGAACTAAATTGACATAGAATTTTGCTTACAAAAGAATTTAAAASGAAACTAATTTTTTTGAGTTCAAAAATTCCAACCTAGTCATGTTTCTTACCAGGAAGCCACACTCTCCAAAGCTTACATTTGAAACCAAATTTTATGCCTTGAAATKTTAACCAACTCACGCCTTAAATTAAATTTGCTCCTACTTGGAAACGAACTTTGCTGTATTGCGCCTAAAAGTAGACCATATCACATTAGCATTGCCAAAAACCGACACTTCAAATTAATTTAGTGTGCTTCTTAAGCACGCCAAAACACAAAGCCGTAAAAAGGGTTAGATTTCGACAAAAGTAATTTTGTGGCAAACAAAGAAAAAAAAAAACACACACCAACAATAACAACAACCTGCAGCATTGCTAAGTAGCAGTAAAAAATGCAATAAGAAGTAAAGTAAAAGCGTTTAGGAATGCGAGCAGCCCGCGGCCAGGCTCAACTTAACTAATTTATTGTATTTGTCTGCCGGCCGGGAGTCATATTTGGGTAAAATAAGTGGAAAATAAATTTAACAGTTAGCCACTGCCGCCTTGCGTGTGTGTGTGYGAASGAGAAGGCAAATGTGAAAGCGAAACTGCGGAAGGGTTTCACGCCTSAAGTCGCTTTGTGCACGAACAATTCCGGTTTTAAGACACTSGCATTTAGTTTAATGCCGCGCACTAGGTATTATTCTTAGTTAGCTCATTGTTGTTGTGCGGGTACTGTTACGCGCCAGAGCTAATTACATGCGCGTCAAGTTGCGCGGTCGTAAAAGGATTTAGAATGGCGCATTTCGACAGTGAAATCAAAAGTGAAAGTTTATTTGCTGCGTAGTTTTAATTTCTTCTCCCACACCCCATTGTTTTATGCATGTATGTATATACGTTTTACTGTTATTTTGGTAGGCAAATAAAAACACTGAAATGAAATTACTGTAACGAAATTAAATTCCGCTGGACTTATTTTTATKTCCGCCGACGGCATAATGAGCTTAAGGCGGCGCTTTCCCACCGCCAGCTGTTTGGTCGTGTTTCTGTGCATGTGTATATCACTAGCGCTGTGTGCATGTGTTCAGTGAATGGAAGGCGACAGCGGTAGTGTGCGCTTTTAGGCGCCGTGCGCGCATTCACGAAATGAATGAGTTAATTACATAAGAAAAATGGGTTTTAATTTGATTTGTAGGCAAACGAGCGCGCGCACACACACATACACTTCTTCTCTTGTGTATTTGTGTGGCTGGTTTAGCGGCATTGCGATGTGTTGTGAAATGCCAGAAAAGGCGGCAATTATTTGGGCGAGCGCACATGCGGTCCTCTGTGTGTGTGGCCGTGTGTTCGGTTTGACTTTAAGGCCAACGCCTCGTTGGACTTAATTTGCATTTGTTGCTGCGTTTTCTCTACGAAGTATTGTTTTTGGCGCGCCCGAACAATTAACTTCTTGTGAAATAATGTCAGCTCCGCAGTTGCAACAATTTATTTGATTAAACAAAAATTATAAAAATAAAAAAACTAAAAAATAAAAAGAAAAAATTTAAAAAAATAAAAAAAAGTTAAAAAATTTTTTTTTTTTAAATGAAAAACTAAAAATCAGCAAGAAGCGTTATTTCGGTTGCACACCGGTTATAATACCTTCACAAGAAAAAAATTAAAAATCTTCATTTTGTTCGATCACAATGTATGGCAGCTGTATGCTATAGTGGTGCGATCTCAACAACTTCTGCAGATATTATATCTTTGCTTTGAATAATAATACGTGGAAAGTTTCGTAAAGATATCTCAGCAAATAAAAAAAAAAATCATATAAGGCTGAGATTTGTAGAAACAAGTTTGTATGGCAGCTATATTCTAAATTGATCCGATTTGAAAAATTTCTTCGGTTATTGCATAACTACCTTAGGCAATATTCCAAACAAAATTTGGTTAAGCTATCTACTCAAATGAAGAAGTTGTTCATACAAGTACTTGCTTCAAATCTCAAATACTGAGAGAATAAATCGCTAATATACAGGACAAATGGACAAACCGTCCGACGTTCAAATGAACAGAGAGACGGAAGTGCCAAAATCGACTCAACTCATTATACAAATTATTTATGCATATATTTATTTTAAAGTTTCTTCGAAATTTCCTACCAGCTATTATAAACTTAAATTATATGACAGACTTAATATACCCCRTTGTGGGTATAAAAATTACAAAAAGAGAAATGTTAAAGGATTACAGAAAAGTGTGTGCGCAGTGAAATTTAACAATGGCGGCGCACATTTTCAAAGTCAATCACACAATAGTTTCCCTTTCTAGTTGGCTCTAATCTGCAGCCGCATGCCYCAATGTCATTCACTTGAATTTTGCTTTTAATTTTGTTTTTCGCCTTTATTTTCATCGAAATCTCATTCATCTCACTGGTCTGCTCACCACTTGACAGACCAATTCTGCGCCAAAGCTTACTTATTTCTTCTCTGTTTTTAACGCCTGCTGCCRCACTCCCCACTTCCAGTCATATTTACTTTTTTGCTTCATTATTTTTTAATCTTCTTTTAAAATTCATTTTCTTCTTTTTTTTTCGCTGTGTTGCCTTTCCAACTGCTTTCCTATTTTGCAAAGTTGTGCAAACAATTGCGGCGCTGTCTCTGCATGACTCTCTGCTCTGCCAGCTAGTTTGCCGTCGTTTTAA